CTAGTATTGCAGAACTGACAATGTTATTTCCTTTCAGAGCTCTGAAGGATGATAATCAGAATTTTTTAAAAGTCTGTGCTTACAGTTAACCACTCGAATATATAATGCTAACCACCTTGGAGACCTCATTAACTTTAATAAGAAGTTGTTTGCTGTTGAACAATCTTGACAATAACAATGACTATGTTGGTCTTCATAATAGGCTGCTGCACACTACATTATGTACCAGGTTTCACAAAAAAAATGAGTTGAGATTGCTAGTTTATCATTCGGAAAAAAATCAGGATATGCAGACAACGGAGAAAAGCAACAAGAGAGCTTGATTTGGTGGCCAGACAGGCAAAAAGACTTCTTAAAAAGCAGAAATTGCCTCTCTGTCCATCTGCTGCACTAAACAGAACACAATTCAGCTAATGAAGAGCAGAACTAAAAAACTAAAATTCTCATTCAGTTCCATCTGTTTCAACTGCAGTTGTGTGAAGCTGATCTATGTTTCAGATAGAAAATCAGCACTTCCATTTTGTCATAATATTGAAATGAGAAGGTTTACTTATGTACAAAGAAAACCGTAAAAACCCAGCTGAGTTTGGCCTATTATCCACTTGGAATAGTAAGGAGACTGGACAAAACTGTGTTCTCACATTAGAATTCCTCCTGTGCCCTAGCTTTTTCCAAGTCACAGTGGAAATAGACACACTGAGTTTGCAAGCGGCAGGAGAGCCTGGATGAGCTGCCCTCCCAGCATGACTGTCTCCTCTGAGAGAGACATGTTTACCTTGAGCAGGTGAACTGCACATAGCCTTCTGACCAATGTGAATAATTCAACAAAACAAAAGAAAATGTATTCCATCTTCCTATCTAGTTGCAGAAGTAATGATTTTTTTGGACAAAGCTGAATTGACACAATATTACTTAATCTTCTATATTTTAAAGCATGGAGATTTTAAGAATTTCACATTTTAATCACTGTTTCTTTACTTATATAGACAAAGATATATTTTTATGGCTTCAAGTTAGCATCTATTTCTCAGAATTCAGAATGCGTTTTTAGCAAATAAAATAAAAATAATCCTGTCTGCCTTTTGAGTCTACATAGCTGAAATGTAAAGTATCTTGTAGTTCACTGAATTATAATTTAATTCTACTGCTAATGTCATTGTTTTCCTAAATACGTTATTTTATAGCAGAATTCTAGTAATTAATTTTAAGCTATCAGAAAGCAGCAATGAACTAGATTTGTCACTTCCAAAGTAATATGATTACATTCTGTCTTGCTGTTCAGAGTAAGCGTTAGTATGAAGTAAGAGACAAATTCCAATATATCAGTTGTATATACCTCTCTTACCTTTGTTTTATTCATATCTTTACTTGTTTAAGTGATATTTTCCCTTTGATTGTTTTTACTAAAGGCTTTCTACTTACATTGATGTGATGCTCTGAAGGAAAGACTATGATCAGTATACATGCAGAAACTGCTACTTTTGTCTGCAGACAAAGTATGTATTTCAAAATGGCTTTTAAGGCTGAAATATCTGGTAGGCCCATGGGAACTATATATTCATCTCTCAAAACCAGCAAACAAAAGTAAGCATTTACTCCTGCAAGTCTCTTTGAAAACTCCTACCTCAATCTCCACGTCTTCCAAAACAGTTATACTGAAGTTGGTGAATGAAGCTGAACAGCACAAGGGACATTAAAAGCAGAAGAAGAGTGTTTCAAAATGTCAAAAAATGTCAAATTCTTTGTAAGAGTAGTTTTTAAGCAGACAGCTGTGTGATCTCAGCATTTTGCCTACACGCTGGAGCATGATGCAACCTACCAGTGCAGCAAGCCATGAGGTTTTTTCTGCTGTATAGTGAGATTTTCAATTTATATAAACACTGATAAATGCTACTCTTTTTCTTATGAGTAGGATATCAAATACAAAGCAAAGAAAAGCAACATGGAAATAAATACTTGGATTCTGTCTCAGCTATGAGAGAAACTGGAAATTTCACTCTGGGCTGTTCTAGCTTATGTGGAAGAACTGTCTGAAAAAACTGTAATCAACAACCAGGAAGACAAATGCCTGCATTGGAAATACCATAACTTCTTTCCAATGTGTCACTTGCGGTTTCCATTTTTTATCTTTATTCTTGAAAATTGAATCTAGTAATATTAGCTTTTCATTAAAGCACTGACTCTATTATCTTGTCAGAAGTAACAGTAGTCCAATCTGGTATGATCTAATTCTAAATGGCCAAAGACCATATTTACGCTTTGGGGCAACAGATCTGAAGGCTAAAAAGCAGCCATTTACCCTTTAGAAAGTGAAATTCTTCTTGGAAATCAGACTGAAGTTCAGAATAAGAGACAACCATATCTTAAACAGCAAATAACAGCAACATAAAAATGAAGAGCATATCAATAAATAAAATTAAGAATAATGCTTTTTATCAAGCAGAGGAGGCAGAAAATTGGCAAGGTTGAGCTGTTGGTTAAACTGAAAATAAGAAGGAAATGCACAGGCAATGAAAACAGAGATGTGCAGCCTGGGAAGAATACATGCATGCCATCTGGATGTGCAGAGATGGGATCAGGAAAGCCAAGGCACAAACGGAACTGAACTTTATGGGAGATGTAAAAAACATCAAGAAGTGACTGTTCAAACACATTGGTCAAAAGAGACAAGCCAAAGCGAGTGCACTCCCTCTGAAAAATATGAAGGGAAAAAATGGCAAAAATGAACATCAACAAGGCTGAAGTACTCAGCAAGTTCGTTGCCTCAGTACTCAGTGCCTGCCAGACATCTCTCATGTCCCTGAACATCTAAGCAAGGTTTGGGGGACCAAAATTCCTATTGTAAGAGAAGAGCAACCTCTTGAAACTGAACACATAGCAGACTATGGCCCTCATAGGACATGGCATCCCGGAGTCCTGAGGGTACTAGCTGATGTTGTTGCCAAGCCACTCTCTGCTGTATTCAACAAGTTCTCAGTGGCTGGAAAAAGGGAAACCACTCCCATTTTTAAGAAGGAAATCCAAAGGAAGATCAGGGAAGCTACAAGCCAGCAGCCTCACCTCTCTGCCTGAGAGATCATGGAACAGCTCCTTTTGGAAGACAGGTTCAGATACATGCAAGATGAAGAAGCAATATGAGTGAGGCTTCACCAAAGGCAGATCATACCTGGCCAATCTGGTGGCCTTCTATGATGGAGCGATGATTTCAGTGGACAAAGGAAGGACAACTGATGTCATCTACCTGGACTTCTGCAAGGCCTTTGATAAGGTCCTATATCACATTCTTATTTCTAAATTGGAAAAAATATGGTTTCTAAGCTTAGATTATTCAGGGGATAAGGAATTGGTTGTAATGTCACAACCAGAGGTCTGTAGTTGATGGTTTTATGTCCAAGTGGAAGCTAGTGATGAATGGTATACTTCAGAGAGAAGAGCTCATTGAGAGCAGCACGGTGAAGAAGAATTTAGGGGTTCTGGTGGATGAAAAGCTTGATGTAAGCCATTTGTGTGAACTTGCAGCCTAGAAAGCCAAATCTAACCTGGGTGCTTCAAAAAGAAGGGTGGTCAGCCAGGCAAGGGAGAAGACTGGCTTCTTCTGTTCTGCCCTTCTGTAGCCCCACCTCCAGTACTGTGCTCAGATGGAGGGTCTCCACATCCAAGAAAGATGTGAAGCTGTTAGAGCAGGTCCACAGGAGGCCAAAAAGATGATCAGTGGGCTGGAGTATCTCTCCTGTGGTACTCCCTGCAGAGTGTACCTGTTCAAGCCATGGGCTGCCTGCTTCTCCAAGAGAATATAATGTCAAAAGATACCATGTCAAAAGATTTGCTGAAGTCTAGGTAGACTACATCAGCAGCCTTTCCCTCATCCACCAGGCAGGTTACTTGATCGTAGGAGATCAGGTTCATCAAGCAGGACCTGACTTTTGTGAACGTGTCATCTCACATGTAATGTGATCTCCCTCAAGATTATCTGTTCCATAACCTTTCCTGGCACTGAGGTCATGCTCATGGGCCTGCAGTTCCCTGTATCTTCCTTATGACCCTTCCTGTTGATGGCAGTCACACTGGCAAGCCTCCAATCTTCTGAGACCTCTCCAGCAATCACCTCCACCAGTTCCCTCAACACCCTTGGGTGGATCCCATCCGGCCCCATGCACTTGTGACAGTGGAGTTGTGGAGTAGGTGGAGTAGTAGGTCTCTGTCTCTACCTGCATCATGGGGTGTTTATTCTGCTCCCCATCTGAGACTTACAGGTCTGACTTTTAAAGACAGATGTAAAGAAGGCATTGAGAACCTCTGCCCTTTCCTTATCCTTAGTAGTCATTTCCCTGCATCTAGTAAAGGATTGATATTCTCCTTAGCTCTCCTCTTGCTGTTAATATATTTGTAAAAACATTTTTTGTTCTCTTTTACTCCAGTGGCCAAGCTGAGTTCAAATTGGGCTTTTGCCTTTCTAATTTTCTCCCTGCGTATCCTAACAATTTCTTTGTACTCTCTCCAAGTTGCTCGTTCTTTGATCCACAAAAGGTAGATTCTCTTTCTCCCGGAGCCTCAGGAGAAGCTTCCTGTTTACCTACGCTGGTCTTCTTCCCCCTGGTTCATCTTAAGGCACAGGGGGATAGCCTGCTCCTATGCCTTTAAGACTTCCTTCTTAAGGACTGGTCAGCCTTCCTGGACCTCTTTACCCTTTAAGACTGAATCCCAAGGGACTCTCCTTACCAGTGTTCAGAATAGTTCCAAGTCTGCCTTCCTGAAGACCTAGATAGTGGTTGGCAACCATTGCCATGGCAAGAGGCTGCAACTGGATGATCTTTAAGGTCCCTCTTAACCCAATCCATTTTATGAATCTATGATTCTCTTCAAAGTCCTGCCTTCACGCTCATCTTCACACTATTAGATATTGCAGGCATATATAAATGATGGAAAACAGTCAAGGCGTTATTAACAACTGCAAATATCCTTCTAAATTCATTGAGCCCCAAAAAAGGTCAGATACATACCTGGAGTCTTGAAATTTCTCAGCTGAGATGGCGTGTCACAGATTTCCAAGATCCAATCACCTGCTGCTTTTTCACTCCAGCAGTGAGTAGTCATAAACTCCCAGTTTTTGAATCCTTCCATGGAATGATCAAATAGCCTGCAATAAATCACGACATTATATTAAGTGAACTATAATATTCGAGGAGTCCAACTATGCAGACTACTGAATGACATGCTAGTAAGCCAGATAATTCATCTGTGCCTATACATAATGTTATTAAAGATGGTCTTCCCACATATCTTTGAAGTACATTCAAGAGTTTCCTTACTTTTTTGGTGGAGGAGGTTCTTTACATGTAATCATTTATCATGACATGAAAGAATGGAAAGAGATTTCACTACAAAAAAAATCATTACTTCAGTTTAATATGATCCTTGTCTCCTGGGAAAAGTGCATAACATACAGCACGAGGTGAAAACAAATTGTACACTGGAAAATTTCTGTAACACTCATTTTTCACTTTGGATTGGAATACATAAAATGGAATTAAAAAAATAAAAATGACGGAGTGAACAAGACAGTATTACAGATCAATATATGCAACTCCTTATAGAAAATCAAATGTAACAGAAACATTGATCTCCAATCTTAAATGATCAAATTATCACTCTATACTTGACAGGCTACATAAGAGCTGCTCTGAAAGTAATACCTCCTATCCTGTTACGCTGACCCAGAACACCAGTGGCTGATGTTGGTGGTATTGCAGCAGAGGTTGAACATTCCTAACAATATTCTATTACATTTTGTTCCTGTGAGACAGATGGCAGTAGAGGGGCAGTAGAATAGAATGGTGTTTGACACGGAAGTGCAGGTGAAGCAAACTTGTATCACTGAATTTCTCCATGCGGAAAAGATTGCGCCCACTGACATTCATTAGCACTTCCTAGTCATTTATGGAGATCAAACAGTGGATGTCAGCACAGTGAGGCAGTGGATGGTGCATTATAGCAGTGATGATGGTGAAAGTAGGTCGCCTTCAGTGGTGCAGATTTTTAGAATAGCAATGTGCAGGCTCTTGTTCGCAAAAATGCACAGCTAACTGTGATGGCTATGTTGAAAAATAGTCTTCAGTAGCTGAGAATTTCCTCTATCAAACATTATTGTTTTCTTTGTATCTGTTGTAATTTCCAAGGAGATAAAATGGGGGCATTACTTTTGGAATGACCTAAGTAGTTTGAGTAAAAATTGAAAGACTAATGTCATCTGATGGTTTTTTCTAACAAACATTGCTGTAATTACTGAGATCTTGGGTGAAGAGTTTGAAACTCAGGCCTGGATTATAACAGATTCTTGTACAGTGGCCCACTTTAGAATCTGCAAAATGGTGCTAATCTGATGAGGGAAGAAGAGAGTGGATTGGCCATATTTTTTACCTAAAACTGGAATTAATAAAAGTATGGAAAGTCACAAGAGAATTTGGACTTCTATTCAGTGCTCAAAGGGTTTTGTCTGGTATTCCAAAGATTTGGATGGAAGGTAAGATCTAATCGCAGCTCAGCACTGAAAAAAATAAATATACATATATGTGCATATATGTATTTATGTATTTTTCATTATTTTACCTTGGTTCTTACTGTGAAAGTCTTACTGTTGAAAGCAATGTTTAAACATTTCTGATAAAAAATGCTCCCTACAGTAGAAATTCCAGTCAATTGAAAACCTCCTTTCAATGGAAATGAAGAAAAATCCAGAATCATAAAATCACAGAATCACCAAGGTTGGTAAAGAGCTCCAAAATCATCTAGTCCAACTAGACACCTATCACCAATATTTCCCTACTAAAGAGTAAAGATGTAAAAGTGTACAAAAGTACACAATATTTTACAATAACTAGATTCCTTACTGTTCATTTCTGAGTACATCTCAAGCTCTAGTCTCAGAAGACTGTGTAAGTGAACAAGCAAACAATGGGAAAGGAAAGTAGTTTAAAAGCACTGTATATGTCTGTTTCTTGTAAAAACACTCAATCTGGATGTCAATAAATTTTGATATCTCTTGCTGAAAACCAATCAATCAGAGGAATGGGGCCAGATTTGCTGTGGGCCTACAGACACAGTCCTCACTTGAATATCCCTTGTATGGAACTGTGTGCACAGAGCACCTTATATACACAGTACACATCTGATTTTCACTTTCACGTATACAACCCTTTTCCAGTTTAAATGAATGCTTACTCCTTAAATTGAAATAGATATATATCTTTAAAACTAGACTTCATTTCCACTGATAAATGGTTGAAATTTTCTTCTCACAATCCAGTATAAACATATATAAATATATATACATATATACATTCTGCCATCAGAAATTAGCCTGTTCCATGTCACTGTTAATTCAGTTGTTTGAATACAGCAAATTTCACAAACATATGGCACACGTCATTTACTGAAAGGGTAGAAATTATTATTCAGTCACTACCCAGTGTTTGCATGTGGCTGTGTTTAAATTAAATCATTATGTAGGTTATTTCCAACAGTTAGTCAAATTGTCATATGGCATTTCGCTGACAGCTAATATACTAATTGCTGAATATGCTAACAATCAGTCAAAGCAGCAATATTCCTCCTTGACAATATGACAGCTAAATTATGTAGTATATTATATCAATACTGTACAATTATATTGTAGGCTCTACGAGGGCTGCTCTAAAAGTAATGCTTCCTATTTTATTATATTGACCCACAGCTCCAGAGGCAGATGTTGGTAGTATGGCAGTAGAGGCTGAATTCCTCCATGCAGAAGTGACATTCATTGACACATGCTGAACATTTATGGAGATCAAACAGTGAATGTGTGCACAATAAGGCAATGAGTGGTGTTTTACAGCAGTGTATTATGATGTAAGATTTAAAATATCATATTTTAATGTATGAGTTTTGTTTCTGGAAATGAGTTAAAAAGCTACAGACATAAAAAAAACGAGTTAAAATTAGTAGCAAGATAGGAGTCTAAGGCTATCTGCAAGTTATATCAACTCAAAGGTCCAAGTATTTTTGTGTTGCTCTGTTTACGCATGAAACTCTCAGAAAAAACATAGTAAAATTTCCCCTTCAGAGAAGTTAACGAAAGGATGAAATCACTGAAGTACTTACAAAACTGTCAGGTGCATTTTTTTGGATTAAAAAAAGAAAACGTATCAGACAGCTTGTTTTAAGGAGTCTGAAGTCTGGAGCCAGTCCAGATTGTTAACTGATTTTGTTATTTGTCAGACTGATGCCTAGTCAAAACTCATAGCAAGGAAATACACATAGTTGATCGTGAACAAGTGAATTATTAATATAATTATTAATGGCATGATTAATTATTGTTTTAATTAACAAGATACTTGAAACAATCCAGTGACTGCAACACTTACACTTATGTATGCAACACACTTACAAGTACTGAGAGACAGCATTTGATTCTTCATAACTTATTGACAAAGAATCATAGAATCACTCAGGTTGGAAAAGACTTAAAGAACATTGAGTGTAACCATGACCTAACCATACCACCGTAGCTCTAATACAGCTCTGCTAAATCACGTCCCTGAGTACCACATCCAAACAGTTTTTAAACACATTCAGGGATGGTGACTCAACCACCTCCATGGGGAGCCTATTCCAGTGCTTAACAACCCTTTCAACTGGCCAACAGGCCTCACCAGTATTGAGTACAAGGGTAGGATTACTTCCTTAGTCCTGCTCACATCATCGTTCGTGAAGCCAGGCTGCCATTGGCCTTCTTGGCCACCTGGGCACACTGCTGGCTCATATTCAGCTGACTGCCCATCAGTACACCAAGGTCCCTTTCCGTCAGGCAGCTTTCCAGTCACTCCTCCCCAAACCTGTTGGGTTGCCTGTTGTTGTTGTGACCAAAATGTAGGACCCGACACTTGGCCCTATTGAAACTCATACAGTTAACCTTGGCGCATCGATCCAGTCTATCCAGGCACCTCTGCAGTGCCCTCCTGCCCTCTGGCAGATCAACACTCCCTCCCAACTTGGTGTCGCCTGCAAACTTACTGCACTCAATCCCCTCATCAAGATCATTAATAAAGATGTTAAATAGAAGCGGCTCCAGTACTGAGCCCTGGGGGACACCTCTCATGACCAGCTGCCAACTGGATTTAGCTCCACTGACCACAACTCTTTGGGCTCAGCCATCCAGCCAGTGTTTCACCCAGTGGAGCGTATGCCCATCCAAACCCATCGTCTTCTAGACAGTGTTGTGGGAGACAGTGTCAAAAGCTTTACTGAAGTCCAGGTAGACCACATCAACTGCCTTACCTTCATCCACTAAGTGGGTCACCTTGTCACAGAATGAAATCAGGTTTGTCAGACACAATCACAACAGTACACCAGAACTGCTCTGGTGACCTTTCTTGGTAAAGCAATTCAAGCTAAAGAGGATGTGCTTTTATGACCATCTGTATTCAGAGAAATTAATTTTGCTGATACGGTGAATAGCATTGCATTTAAAGATAATGACTTTTATCAGAAATAATTTAATATACTCTGTACGCACCGTATGTAGGTATGTATGAGAACATAAGGTTTACAGGGCGTAGAGTAAATTACTTGTTTCCTTAAAATAAATTAAGAGTCTTGGCTTCTTTCACTACCATCCACTCAGCCTAGAAATTACATTGCCTTTCTGCTGAAGAAAGTAACTTCAAACAGAAATATTCATTTGTAAGCCAATTTTCACACGAGTGACAATTAGTCGCTTTAAAGAGACTCCAAAATTGAGAACATGAAAGTCTCTGAGCTAAATCTACAAGAGTTAAAAAAAAAAAGTATAAATTATTATCAGAAAATTTCCAAGATACAAAATGCACAAAAAGTAGATTTTGTTTTAATTAGTGAAGCAAATTGGTTTTGTGTGAGAAAAGGCAGTTAGGGTGGGGATCTATTTGGTGATACCACAATCCTTCATCACAACAGTAAGAGGTAAACACATAAAAGTCTGTTTTTAATATCCAGGTCTATTTCTCATCCCAGAAACTGCAGCTGCATCCGACTGATGTGACTGACAGCCATGCTGTACATATTCAGTTGATGACACTGAGAGCCAGGAAACATACACCCTGCACAAGCTGGTGGCTGGGTCTG